TAATAATAATAATAATAATAATAATAATAATAATAATAATAATAATAATAATAATAATAATAATAATAGTTTAGGTTTTTGCAGGTTTTGTGAAACTTTCATGAAAGTGTAACACGGGTGAAGGGAAACTTTTATGGTAGCTGGCCAGGCTACATTTTCTCTTTAGCTGCATTTTAGTGTCCTGTGGGGTTCTCCATGCAAATTGCTTTATTGTATAAATAGTGTCAGCTAAACCTTTTTCATGGAAAGGATATTGTATCAGAGTGTGTCCTTGTAGTACAGTGTATTAAATATTTAATATTAGATATTTTTTTTCCTCTACGATATGTTTTTGGTTACTTGCTTAAAAAAGGAAATTATTACTCAAATAAGAATCATAACTGTAAGTAAAAATCAATGATACACTCACCGGCATAGACGTGGCATAGATTCAACAAGGTGCTACAAACATTCCTCGGAGATTTTGGTCCACATGATACATGATACAGCAGCATCACAAAGTTGATGCAGATTTGTTTGTTGCGCAACTATGATGTAAATCTCCTTTCCCACTTTATCCCAAAAGTACTCATTGAGCAGCACTGGGATAAGATCTGGTGACTGTGGAGGGCATTTGAGTACAAATTAACTAATTGTAATGTTTGATCCGAGATTTATGATATGGCACATTATGTTGCTGGAAGCAGAAGACAAGTCCACTGTGGTCATAAAGGGATGGACATGGTCACCAACCATGCACAGGTAGGCTATGTTCTTTAAACAATGCTCAGTGACACTAAAGGGCCCAAAGTGTGGCAAGAAAATATCCCCCACACCATTATGTGTTGTGGGGGATATGTGGTATCTATTTATCTATCTAGCTTGCAACATTTTCATAACTATACAAAAGCCTAATAAACTTTATTTAAGTTGTATTTAGGTTGGAACTCCTTGCTATGAATTTGATTCACTTTTCCTGATGAAATATCTCAATGTTATTGTTGTGGTCTAAATCTAAAATATATATAGACTGTTGATAAATATTATAAAGCTCAAGATTTTTGATTTATTTGAAAGCTTGTTTTATTGTTTTCGTTTCATGACATTGTTCTGGTTAGCAAGGCCATTAGGGGGTTTTATAGTCGACGTTATGCAATCAAACAATTACTGTGTGACCAAAATTTTAAAATAAAAAACTTTATCATAATTTCATTTCATTCACTGAGAAAATATTATTATCCAAGAAGACACAAATACGAAGAGCTGGTTCAGGTTTTTAGGCCTTTCTCAAAGGTCAGTTTGGCAGGGAACTAAACCTCGCAGTATCCATTCAACAGAGGAATCAGTGATTTTACTAAATCTGCTTGGATATTGTTTTTTATTACTTTTTGTATAAATCATCAGGGGTGAAATTTAATATTTTACTTTTCTGTTGTTGCTCCTAAGTTAAGCTCTTCTTGCCTACTGTGTGTTGTGTTTTGGGATCGCTATTGTTTCTCTTATATTCATTCCTTCTTCAGCACATTTTGAGCATTTTTAAGTTTGTCTCTTATCACTGTTATGCACATGGCATTCAGTAATACATCTCTTTTAAGTCTGCAGATTTTTCAGAGGTGTTTAGACTCTATTAAAAGTGGTTGAAAATTGTCTCTAACTTAATGGAGAGAAAACAGTCCTTGTTTGTGCCCCCAACAAATTTATGCAGAAAGTAATGGTGAATAGTTCATCAGGAACTTCAGAGTATGTTTTGAGTCAGCTTTCATTTTACACACTCACTCAAATCTCTGTCTCACTCTTGCTTCTATCATTTAGGGAAAATTGTTAAGTTGAGCTCAGTTGTGTCACGCTCTCAGCTGAAAACTGGAAATCATCCTTTTATTATATCATGTCTGGATGATTGTAATTCATTGTTCACGTCTCCTATGAAATCTTAAAGCTCGTCTGCAGGTTGTTTGTACTTACATGTCACACCTGTCAGGCGCACTGGCTTCCCATTAACTTTAGAGTTCACTTTAAAATTCTGGTTTTGACTCTTAGAGGTCTCCATGGACAAACGCCAGCATACATCATAAAACGTTACATCCTTACATGCCCAGGTCATGTGATCGGGGCCTGCTGGCTGTGCAGCATTTAAGGCTGAGGACTAAAGGAGACAGAGCTTTTGCAACAGTGGCCTCCCAGTATGGAACAATCTCCCACTGAGCCTGAGTTCTGAGGATCTCTTTCAAAAAGCAGCTACAAATCCATTTTTTTTAACTTGTTTTTGGGTAAATTTGTTTGTTTGGATGTTCTACCACTTTTATTGTAATGCACTTTGTGAGATTTAATGTTTTAAAAATAAAAAATATGCAAAGCATTAAACAGGCCAGCATACCTGTTCATTGAAGTTCATGAGATAGTACTGCAGAGTGAAGTGGGTCAAACAGGCAGGTTCCTCCATGACCAGTAAACTTCTTTCACAAGGATCGTTTTCAGATCTATCAAGTGAGACAAGCTCCTTTACCCTCTAATGCTAAATCCCTCCAAATTAACCTGACTTCAGCACCCTGAGTGCAGAAAGTGGCAGGTATTGTCTCCTATTCTTCTCACTTTCTCGTTCTTACAGTAACCAGACACTGTCACCTTTTGTCCCATTGTTGTCTTAATTACTGGTCGTCTTGGGTTCAGAGGGATCTGCTTACTCAAGTCTCTTTTCCTTGTCTGTTGACAAGGCTGAGACTTTTCATTGGGACCCAGAGGAGCGATAATAAAGTTTAATATGTCTGTGAAGGTTCTCAGTCATCCAGGTCATCGTAGTCAAAGGAGCTTGCAAAGAAAAGCGTCTGGACTTCTTTTAGTTACTTGAAGACGTTTCACCTCTCATCCGAGAAGCTTCTTCAGTTCTAAGGTCAAATGGTGGGGATTAAATAAAGTTTAATCTGCACTATGGCTATTGGGAGAAAAAAAAACACTTTCAATGAATACATTCATCCAACAATTTTAGCAACATTTCAGATTATCTGTGGTGTAGAAAGATTATTTTACACACAAGTAGCAAAAAGGATGCCGCTGGTACCAAGCATCAAGGCGAGGATCATTTAGATATCTTATCACCAGTAGAGGGAGTAAGAGGATTGTCTACAGATTGCTTTTTTGTCTGACGTATTGGAATGTTCTTGCTGATCTCCAGAGGACTTTGCATATTGAGACCATTGATAGTCTTAAAATTGCTTTTTGTTATGTGCACAGGTGTTTTGCTTTAAAATTTGCTTCAGTCAGAAGCCTCAAAGGAGGTTTTTCTTACTCTCAAACAATAGTCAGAAAAACAGGACAGTTCCCGTTTAGCACTGAGAGAATGACTTTACCATGAAGTTGCGCGAGGCTAACCACCAAATATACAATCCAGATTTCAGCAAAGCCAAGCTTTAAGCACTTTCAAAGTGAGCAATGATGAAAGGAAAACAGAAACACCTTTCATGAATTAAGAAATCAATGCTGTAAATGTCGCAACTGTTCCAGCTTATTGAACGCCTCTCTGTGTTCGGTTTTGTTTTTGGATTTTTTTTTTTTCCTCGCAGCGTGTTTCCAGTTGTAAAGCTGGACTCCTGCTGTTCCTTCTAAAATGTGCAGGTTGCACGCTTGACCTCATCCCACAGGGGAGCCAATGGCTCACACATGGCACTCCAAATCCTCGCTCTTGCGCATGCACAAACAATCTGGGAGTCATTTCGCATATCTGATAAGTTTTGTGCTTTGTGGAAGAAAAGGCGAAGGCCTGTGCACATGTCCCGAGCCTGAATCCAATCAAGGCGAGTAGACTTCAGAAAGTCACACTGCACCTTTTGATTTTCGCACACAAAGCACAGAAAGACTTCAAATGGAAACGGGGAGAATGGGATTAGCTTGATCTGATATTTGCAGCCCATATGCTTTGCAGCAACTCGGGTATCTGAAATTGAGTTTGATGATGAAATAAACTGTACTGCTGGGGCAGAAGAAAACAGTAGAGTAAGCACAACACAGGTATAAGAAACATGCATACAGTGTTTATTTTGCAACCAGGACACATTAAATAAAACTACAAAGATACTTCACTTATACAAAAGATAGATTATATCCCATTCACATACAAAATAACAATAATTTACTGTATAAATTAAATTTTTCACTATTTTGCTATTTACAATTCGATGAAAACAATGTTTTGGCCTCTTGTGATGACTCAGGGCTTCTGGTGTTGTTTTCATGTTATCGAGCACTACAGGACATTCATATCAACAAAAGCAGTTTTGGAGACAAGAAAAAGTCTGTTTCCACCGCTCAGAAGACGGCGTGGAATTTTCCGACTGACTGGAGGACCGGACAGAAAATGGAAGTTTACATAATTCACCAGGCTATCCAAACAAATATGCCCTTGTTAGATTTTAACTGTCAGATTTCGTTAGCTTGTGTTTGATTTGAACGCGCATTAATTTCCCATTGCTCTCCATTTCTCCCCTTCTTTCTACGCTTGGTCAGCTCTGAACATCACAGACCCAGGGGCATGTGCTCTTGTCTTGCAATAATTAACATGAGTTACAGTTGAGAGGACAGGCAAAACATAACATTTTAGAAAACTTCTGATTGGGAAACAAAAGTTATTCATCTTTTTACGGGTATTAAATTCCGTCCGAGTTCTCGAAAACCATAAATCTTTTGATTTGAATGTCACTGTAATGCCGTGTCATGCATAAAATATAACCTTTCTTTCAAGTGCTCAGGTTGCTGTACAAGTGCGTATTTTTTTCCTTTTTTTTTTTGTCTTTTCACTGAAACAGAATTGTGAGTGATTAAGTACCGTTTCATCTTGTAAGCTGAACCAAAATGAAGTGCTTCAAAGTTAGGATCTTTTTTATTTTTCTTGCCAGTGAGAGAATAACTCAGCGGCCATCTGCAGAAACCTTGAACATCCAGTCTCACATCAGGAAAGGCCAATTACTATGCCGTTGGTGCATTAGTAGATTCTGACCTTTCACAAGTAGTTAAAATGTCACAGAAAACCATTATAGCTGGAAACCTTGTGTCAGCTTGTGGATAGTACCGTGGGGTGCTTTTGGTTATATTTCTGTCTGACTATATTGTTCGCACTCAACCTTTTGGCCTGAAATCTATATGACAAGTAAAAGCTTGAAGGTCTGCAGTGTTCTGCAGAATTTAGACAATTTACTGGTATCGAAGATTAGAATTTCTTTTTTTAAAAAAGCACTCCGCCTTTGAGCTAAAGTAACACAAAAGCACTTTGACAAGTTGCTTAAATGCTTTGCCGAGACACAAAATGAAAGAGCAGTCATAAATATCATCATTCCCACACTGAATTACATAATATACAACAATATTCATCCCCCTGTAATCAAAAGACAACATAATGTGAACAATATGTTCAGTAAACGTCCAAGACTACACATAAGATACACAAATAAGAAACAAAAAAAAGCCTTTTAAAGCCTCGTCTGTCATTATATGAAGAGTTCTATCCCAAAAGGCTAAGTGTGTCAAAGAAAATAAATCGACATCAACAAAGTCGTGTTAAAAAAACGATGTAAAAGATCCCATCTGAGATTAATGCTTTCAATCACCGCACAAGACCAGGAGGCATTTTGGACATTTAAGTGGCGGAAACCCTATTTTGGAATGAAACTCTTCATATCTACATGGATTTTTTTAAAGAAGTGCAGACTTTTGTGAGGGACACCAGTCCACTTTGTGAAAGAAACAGATGTGCGGAACTGAGTCAAGGGAAGAGGAGATCCTTAAGGCACTTGAACAGCATCAAACCGGAAAGACTCCCACCCACAACCAAGCAGAAAAAGCCCTCAGATCTTCCCGAGCCTCCCTAAATGGCAGTTTGTGAGCAAACTGCACCAACCCCCCACCCCCCCCAGCCAGCTAGCTACTTCTCCTCGCCACACAAATCCATGGGCGCTGAGTGAACGAGTGGGCGAACAAGCTCCCTTTCTCGCTGATCTTTTCATTTTGCGGTGACTGATTCGTCCCCAAAGTGCTGTCATATCTACCTTCCGTGTGACATTTCCGTGTCCTATTTCCCTTTCCTCAGCAAGCCAGGTGTCACGTAAAACATATATTTAAAAAAAAACATTAGCAGTTTGAATACAGAATTAAGAACACAAATGAATAAACAACTCTTTGGATGGGAGGATTCTGGATTTTGGCTGAAAATGTTCATCCGCATGAGGCAGTTAAGTTATTAAAAAAAACTGAAGTTTTACAGCATGTGTCATATGTGAATATGTATTAAAGACTCAGTTTCTTCATCCTCTCGCTGATGCTGATGAAGATTCGGCTGCCACTGAAACTGAACTGAGCTGATTTGTTTTTGCACTCCAGCTTTGTCATATTTTCACTAGTGAGCTTGCTGTCCAGAGGGGTTTTTGGAGGTATTTTGATTGGTAGGGTCATCCATGGGTGATGGAAACAGCTTCTTGCATGATAAAAGCATCTTTGAGATTTTCCTCTATCCAATCTTTTATCCTCCTCTCCAAGAGTGGAGTCTTACAGTCCTGCCTGCCCTCCCGCTCCTCTTCGGTGCTGAGCAGGTTAGGAGGGCGTGGCCACTTTGGCACACAGACCATTTAGTAGCATTCACTCAGTCAGTTGTCATTAGCCACTCAGTTGTTTGCTTAGCGCCTCAAAGAGTTTCATTGTCTGAGGGCCTGGCATCTGACGGCCCTTGAACAGAATAGTGGCGGGTGGCGGTACTGTTTGGTTAGACGGCAGGACGCAGCAGGAGCACTAGTTGCCCACCAGGGGGCTGAGGTCACCGTGGTGGTTCTTTAGCTTCTTCTTGAACAGGGAGATGGTAGAGGGGCGGTACAGGATGATCCAAGGCTCAGAAGACGCTGTGCTCTGGCTGCAGGTGTCTGAACCACTGACGGTTGGGATGTTTGGAGACCTGAGAGTAGAAATGAAGACGAAGTAAAGACAAAGAAAAGGAATTACACAAAAGAGAGAGGGGAAAGGAGAAAAGATGGAAAACAATGAACAGAGATTAACAAAGAGAGTCACGAATGTGTCCTAAAGCTCGATTAATGTCACAGACAGATCCATTAAAACGGTGGTACCAAAGCTCTTGTGTAGGTTTTTACAATTTTTGGGTACTTGTTTAAAAGCCATCAATACCTTTGGACTCAAAATTATTGCAATTACTGGTAAACCTTGGCTTTAACTTAAACTTTCGTTTTTCAGGAAAATGGATCCATTTTCAGGGGAAAAATCTTTATCTAAATGTTTCTGTGTTTTCACTGAAGGGAAAGGGAAACTATGTTCTACTGGAAGAAAATGTTTAAACAACGTCGTTTTCTTGTTTTTCAATTTTCTGTTCTGTTGATGCTAGGAGATTCTTTGATCGGAAAATTTCTGGCTTTAGTCAAAGTGAGAAAACAGACTTTGTGGCTCCAGATAAAAATTCTTTACATAAGGACTTGTTCTTTCATCTTCAACCAGTATGGTATGACTATCGTGGCGTACGGGTAAAAGCTTAGAAACGTGATACTTGGCGGATCCACCACGCCTCGAACATCCTCATACTTACTTGACCGTGACGTGCAGCAGCAGCTTTGCTACCATGGCGATGACAGTCAGTATGAGGAGAGCTGCTAAAGCGTAGATGGTCCACACTAGACAGAGAGCGGAGCATGTTAACAAGACGTCAGGCATCCGATCACGGTAATTAAAACAAACCGCAGCAGACTGAAGAGATTAGCGAGTCAAGAACTATTCAAGCGCTGCTCAATTCAAACTTACACCTGTGAGAAGTTCAGCCAGCTAATTGTCAAGAAATGGTGATACATTATCAATGCACATCTGTTATCAGCTAGCTGTTTGAGAAAAAGAATTAGGGCTTGGAAAGAATAACATTTGGAGGAAGCAGAAAAGCGCAGAGCACATCAGTCCACCCTGCAAAGTGTTGACTAGATGGCTGATTGGGAAAAAGCGGGGACTTCTGAGACAATGACAAGTGAAAACAAGCGTCATGTGGCATTACTTCAATTATGATCATAGGGAGTCACTCTGGGCCAGAGCTTCTAGAAGTATCTCAACAAACCAGAACAATTTTCAAACTTTCAGAGAAACCAGGTCATGCTAAGTGGGAGTTCTTGCTAAGAAACCTCCAACATTATCCCAGCAGAGGCAGAGAGAGGCGCGGTGAGTGCAGTGTACGACGGGTGTTAACATACTAGCGCTGTGGCCGGTGGTCTCGCCGCGTCCAGCCCACTGACCTGGCATGTTGTGCTCCGGTTTACCGGGGCTGGACGTGATCACGTAGAGGATCTGGGACGAACGTCCATTCGTCGTACCGTTAGATTTCTCTGTGACTCCGCCAGCCAGCTGGGGCCCTGCTGTGCTAGACACGTCTTCATTTTCCTCCTCGTCATCTCCTTCAGACTCTATTGTTCTAGTGTCCTGGCTTTGGAGTGCTGGGGGGAAATAGAAACAGACAGTTGAATGTTATTCCTTAAACTATCAGGTGGAGACATGGAACAAATCAAAAGCTTACTATCCCACAGCACCAAGTTGACCTGGTTGTTTCAGTGACTAAAAGATTACTTTGTCAGGTGTGGTGCTAAGAATATTCAATTCTGATGTGAAGTGTCTCACAGCACTGGCATTTCCAAAGAAAACTGCAACTTTCCAACTATTCAGACATAAATGATTGTCGTGTCCTTGAGGTATAAGCAGAGACGTCAACTTTAACAGCAATAAAACTAGTTCTCAGTCCCAAAAGAAAATAATGCATGAATACAATACAACAGCATTACTTCCATCCTTTTTCTTAACTGCTTATCCACCTTGGGTCATGGGGAGGCTGGAATATAACCCAGATGTCTTTGGTCAAGAGGTCAATTACACCTGGATTTACACTCACAGGACTTACACAGAGGCAGACAATCACCAGTTAACCTAACACACAAGTCTTTAAACTGCGGCAGAAGCCGCAGCACCTGAAGGAAACTAACACATCCTCAGGGAGAAGATATAAACTCAGACAGGATTAATATGGACTCAGTGGCCAATATTGATCTCCTCTCTCACATTCTGTCTCACGACGAGTTAAAAACGTTAAAATATCGCTCCCTGCCACATTATAACAGCACACCTGTCTGTAAACTGACACTTTCCCCCCCAGTTTTTAGGTAATGCATCAGTTTTTGTCAGAGAGAATAATGATTGCATGCTCTTTGTGGTAAAAACTAATTTCATTCAGGACCACTATAGCCAGAAGAGCACTGGGATTTCAATATCCAGTTTTCAGTTGATGACCAGCTCAATTCTGAGACCTTCCCATCCATTCATGTGCTTACATTTAAAGCCAGAGGAGGGCAGGGTGGAGCAGCTAAATGCAGAACAGAACACAGCAGGGATCAATGATAACACATGACATATTACACTGATATGACATTGATAATGTTAGGTACAGAATGAAAAAGGGCGGAAAGCGGGTTGCAAAGCTGCTTGCACCTGTGTAGCAACTGTAGGAAGACTGAATAAGTCCAATATTGAAGGTGAATAAGGGTATCAGTAGGCTTACACTGAGATCAGCTGATCTGCTAGGACTGTGACTAAGCTTGACTTTTGGCCTGTCTGAACTAAATCACTGTGCTGAATTAGTTCGACACAGTGATGTCTGATCACGCTGCTGCTGTTTTGCACACTGATGAGCTCTTTTTGATATAATACAAATCTGATCTGACGCATTTAATTTGTCAGTAGCAACAAAACAAACAACGTTAACGGAAGGCAGATCACATCCTGCTATATCAGCCAGTTTTTATGAAGTTCTCCATCATTTGCATTTAATCATTTGTGAAAATGTCACCCTTTAGCCACAATAAGAAAAGGCTAGAAGGAGCTTTGGATAAGACAGGAGAGGAAAACGACTTTCATTATTCAAGAAAATCTTTTATTCATCTGGAAATATATAAATCATTTATCAGTTTTAGCAGTAAAATTACTCCTTGGTTGTTATTATAGCTTAGCTTTACTGCCCTTACTAAATTACAGCTCTGTGTAATGTAACATCCCGTGTCTTCACAATGAAGTGATGAATGTAGCGTCGAATGCAGAAGAGGGAAATGTTATGCCATGTCGCTGTAATTTCTACAAGTTAAGGGCATAGATCACTTAACACTCCTTTAATTATTCCATTGTATAAACTGGGCTGCAGCAAGCATGAGGTAATGCTATACTACTTCATGCTGATCATGTTGTTGGAAGTATATACAGCAGAGGCACGAGTGAATATTTAATACTAACTGCATTTGTTAAGAAACAGATGGAGTTCGCAAAAACACCCAAGCGTGCTATAAACATGTGGTGCTGAGAACTTTTTTTTAAAATTCAAGACATGATTCAAAAAGTGTTTGCAATAAATTCTGTTTGCTTTAACCTGCTTACAGCTCCAGATGGGCAGAGTTTGCTTCATAAAACAACAGTGCCAGGGAGCATGGACTATTTCAGCTCATTTATGGGCTCCCAGAGGAAAGCAATATCCTAAATGAGATCTCCTCTGCCTTTCATTTACGTCCCCTAAACATAGTTGCGATTTATTTAAAATCACTGTGTGATTTTAAGAAATGTTCTCGTCCTCCGTGTGAAATGTTGCCGCTGAGAAACAAACTGCGCAGCGTTTCAGTCTCGCACTGATATTTATGAGTGTCACTTGGGTCTTTTATTATTTTTCTTACATGTTAAGGTTTCAGTCATTATGCTGCAATTGTAATCATCCGCAGATGAGATATTGTGCTTTACTTAGATGCTTAGAGCAGATGTCTGTGAATATCAGAAATTAGATTTAAAGAATTAAAACTTTTAGACACGGTCACAAAACATCAAAAGATTAAGAGCACGTGTGAAGAAACAGAATAAATGACTTAAGTTATAAATTAAGAAAAAACATTTTTTTTAAGCATATTTAATTTCAGGCGACTAAGTGAGGACCTAGCCATCTCTAACAATTTGAAACAGTCCAGTGGAGATGATCGTTTCCACAACTCTCCACTGACTGCTCCGTTGGCAGTGCAGAATAAACTTTCCAGTATGTGAGTAATGGTCGAACCAAAAGCATATTTCATTCGGGAATACCAGTGTTCAACTGCAAAAATTTATGTCTGGTGGCATCGATATGTTCTGGAGACTAATTAAGTCAGAAATAAAACACAAGCTGGGTTGCAAAGAGGCTTGCAGATATGCAGCAACTATGGGCTACGACAGCTGCCGGCATGTGGGTTTGGACCAGGGTTTTAATAGTTTTGCAATTTTCATTAGTTTTTATTTTTATTTAGTTTTGACTTCAGATTTTCAATTTTATATCAGTTTTAATTAGTTTTTACCAATTGTTTGCTAGTTTAGTTTTTATTTTTTTTGAAAATCCTTAGTTTCAGTTTAGTTTTGATTAGTTTCAGTTATAGTTTTAGTTGTGTTTGCAATAATTAAGTGTAATCCCAAAAATAAAATAATCCCAAATTGGACTCTGGCGCTTTCTCCCGACTTTTCCTGGCATGATTCTGCGCGTAGACGGAGCAGCAACACAGACGACTTGACTAACGTACTTGCCGCCTGCTGGCATAATGAGACACAGCAAGAAAAAAATCTGTAAACTAAACTTCTTTTTCACCCTTGACTATTGTATGACACGCACACATCAATGAAAACTAAACACATTTTTGCTACAAATTCAGTTAATTTTAGTTAGTTTTGTGAACACTCATTACAGTTTTAGTTAGTTTTCCTTTTTTTGTTTTTATTTTTATCTCCGTTCACTTCTAGTTTTCGTTATTTCGTTAGTTTTCGTTAACGATAATAACCTTGGTTGGGACTGACGTCAACTTATTTGCTGGGAACTGCAGTTAAGCTTGACTTTGTGGTCTTCCAACTAACCAACTCAGGCTCAAGTTATTTTTTAAATACCCCAGTATGTTCAACAAATTATTAACTTTACATTAAACACATGACATGTACTGTGCAGTTCTTTTCTATTGCTTCTCATGAATCTTCCGTACATTTATTTATCTTATTTCACATCACCTCGCCTCTTCCACTGCTGAGGTGCTTCGAGTTCCTCTCTTTCATGAATGCTGGTCAGATGTTAAACCAGCATGGGTTTTTTTTTTTCTTTTTCACGTAATTGCTCAACCTGGCTGTGATGTTCCCAGAACTGCCCACATGTTTCCCATTTGCAAACAAAATACCATGCTTCAAACCCAGTCACAGCTGAAATGTGCTGTCACTGTCATCTGAGAGCGTTTATCCTCAAATTACAGATCCAACCGCTCAGCCTGCCACCAAGGAGATATTAAACGTATATGGTGCTGTCTGCTTTCTATTTGTACCTCAGTCACTATGTGTTTGTATCTATATAGTTCTGTTTGAAAAACAAAAAAACAACTACTTAATTCAGGAGGTGACCTTTTCTCATAACCCATCTCAGATTGCATTTGTGGAATAGACTATACCTCCCGCAAAACAAGATCCATGTCATGAGAAAGGATCGTGCCTGTCTGAGGGTCAGAGGATTTTGACCTTCCAATATTGTTTTTACTGTAATGCCAGCAGGCAAAGAAAAATGACACAGAATTACAGATGGAGGGAGAGAGGGAGGGGC